CGACCGTGGAAGTTGATTGGTGAGACACCCGGTGGACCAAAATACCCTCATTTGATTCTGAGTTTTGGAGCCCATATTGCCTATGACATCTGGGAGGGAAAGGTAATACTTATTAATTTTAATAAATTTTGTTTAAAATGTTTATAGTTGATTTTTCTATTCTTAAATATCAATATATCTTCAATAGGGCCGATATATGCTGAAGTTGCGGTCTCATGCGAAGTCTACATGGCCGGGGTCCGACGACTATTATAGTGTTTCACTACTGGAGAGTACCGGGTTGTATCACTTGCGTTATTGTTCGCTCCCTCAGCACAATAACCCGTTGATAGAGGCTTTTATCGAGAAGTGGCAGTCAGACACCAACAACTTTCATATGCCGTTTGGAGAGATGACAATTACTCTCCACGATGTGCAATATATCATGCATTTGCGAGTTAATGGAAAGCGCCCTAACGTTTGGATTGATAAGGCATATGCGATTTATGTAGGTTCGAGAGCGTTCGGTGTCGAGCCCCGAGATATGGCGAAGTAGTATGGCGGCGGATCCCGGTTAGATGATTTGGATAGGATGTATGGCGACGATTCTTCATTTGCTTCCGAGTTTCGGGTACGAGCATATATTGCGTACTTGCTTGGAAAGCTATTGTTTGTCGACAAGAGTGGATCGAAGGTGAAAGCAGATTTTTTCCCACTTTTAGAGCATATCGATATGATTTCCGACTATTCCAGGGGTTCGGCTACATTGGCCTATTTGTATCGACAATTGGGCATGGCTACGCGAGCTGAAGCGGCGCAGATGGGTGGTTGTCTGACACTGTTAGAGATAATTTTTTATTTATAGTAACCCCTCAATTTTTTCTTTTATTAATATCCCCAAAATGTTATGTTTAATATGCCGTATCATTATTTTTATAGTGTTGGATATATGAGTATTTTCCGTGTTTCCGGCCTCCGATGGTTAACGCACATGTGAATGGAGAGCCCTGGTGTAAGAGGTGGCAGGTGATACATCATATCCCTAAAGACGAGGATATACTTGTTGATTATCATCGACGTCTTGATTCTATGCGTGAGTCAAATGTAAGTATCAAGTTTAAATAAATTAAGATTTATATATTTACTATGTTTATTAATACATTTCTATTATTAATACATACGCACAGGTGAATTGGACGCCATTTGGAGTGAATGTGTCACGTGAAGTTGAAAAGACGGTTCATCACGGGACTATTCGATGGATGGATACGGTCGAGCCTTACATGCCCGATAGAGTTTTGCGTCAGTTCGGATTTCGGCAGATTAAACCGTCGGACCCTATTCGTCCTCTAAAAGGTGCTAAGAGGGAGAGAAAATTAGCATCTTACAAAATTAGCTACGAGCCTGGCGATCAGATGTGGAATATCCCTCACACGCACATGCTTAGTGAAGATTATTATGGTCATTGGGCGCGTCCGGCTTGGGAGTCGACACCGGAGTATTTGCCGTGGTATCTCGACCACACCCACGTCCGTATACATCCTAGTACCGAGCCGGTTCAGAGAGCGGAGCCATCTGCAGTTCCGTTTGTGTACGACATCACCCGGGTGTTGCATACCTACTTCTACGATAACTTGCCACGGCCGACTATTCCAGGATTTCGACAGATTCCCGATGACTTTTTCAGGACGATCCAGGACATGTGCGCCCCATTCGCCGAGTATCTATAGTTGATCGTCCTAATGCTTCTGACGAACAAGACGCAGGATACTCACATATGCGACATTCTCAGCGCAGGCGTCGGACGAGAGATA